AGAGAGAGAGAGAGAGAGAGAGAGAGCGAGCTTGTATGTGTGTATCACTTTAGAAGTGTGTGCTTCGGCGTGCGTCTGTGAAAAGGCAATCATAATATTACTTTAAAAAAACGCCCTTTTGAACATTGTAGTGTTATTAGTTTTACAGAACTTCTGAAATTTAAGTCCATCTCCGATAAGACTGAGCCGTCAACAAGTTGAAAGGAGCCCGGGCAGCTATAAACTATCCCTCCAAAATAGTTAGAGAACGTCTCATTTAGGGATTCGAATCAAGGCTATCCCTACCGAAGCCCGGCATAATAATTCCAACTCAGTTTGCTTCATGAAAAGCCTATAAGTATAAGACAGGCCCAAGGAGATTAAAAGTAAAGTAGTTCTAAACTCCTTGGACAGGCCCCAGTTCTAAAAGAAAGACAGGACAAAACAAGATGTGGTCTGTGCCAAACTGTACTATGCGGTTTGTCGAAGGCCGTTACAGGAGTATGCGGGTGGTTGCAGGACGCCACAGGTAGGTCCCACTACTTCCCCTTTGCTGGTCTGTCTGTCTGTCTGTCTGTCTGTCTTGTCTTTTTCCTTCTCTAAATGACCACTATAGTGTCGATGTGCTTCTCTTTACGCCAACAAACAAACTTACAAGCAAACAAACAAACAAAGTAGGCTACCGATATGACAGTTTATAAGGGTGTACTACTCATATTATTATAATATATAACTAGCTGGGTATCCGTTCGATAAACGGACTCAAAAGAATCGATCGTCAAGTCATGTGGAAACAGTGTGCACTGCTTGTGAACGGAAGCCTTACTTGTTTACAATGGCGTCTTAGAAGACGGACTTTCCCAAGATTAGATCTAAACGAAACTAATGAAAAACTGAAAATTAAAATACAAGGACTTCAGACTCATAACTGTGCACCCTTTTAATGATTCTGAACGTGGCCTATGTTATTGTCACGAAGGCCACGTTCTAAACCACCGTTAAGTTTTTCAAATTCGAAAGTTAGGTGGTTAGGAAGTTTAAGGCGACCAAAGTGACGAACTTTCACAAATATATTATATAGATATACCTCCCTATGGCTTCACGGCTTGACGATTTGCGCTGTGTAAATCGCTACCTTACCAGTACAAAGTTAATCTATCTGCTCAGTACACATGTACCCAGTATTGAGAAATTTGACGTTACAATTTTGGAGTTTCGCCACATGTCAAGCTTTTTCCAATGCAATTCTTGGATATTATTATCTTAATAGCGACTTCGAATAATCTAACGATTTTGATAGAACAGATAGAACCTTCCGTTTCTGATCGCATGGCCTTAATAACCCATAACGGCCAAAAAACGTCAGATAAGAACTTCATAATTCTAACAGGTATCGAAACGTGTCTCCTAGCGTGACAAATGCGCTTCGATACAATGCTTGCGAGGAAATGATCACTGTATAACCCCGCTTACATTTTTGCAGTAGGCCTATATTGTATAGAACCAGAAAGCGTAGAATTTCTAGTGTGCCGACTCTCTGAAGACCCCTACCTCCAGTCTGACAATGGATCCCATTGTGTTGCTGTTACGGCGGTTGAAAAGGATGTGAGAGAGGTAAAGAAATCGACCCAGAGGCACATAAGTCCATCCCGTTTGCTTAAACAGACACGAAGTTGCGGAATATTACACTATGCCTACATGTATTTCAGTCACTCCTGTGCCCTCCCTTTGTCACTTTTCTTGTACAAAGAGGCTGAAAGTGGAGATGAAAGCAGATGACAGAACATGATTAGAGAGAGCGCAGGAAAAGAGGTGAAAGGAGAAAATTGAATAGAAAAAATGTTCGTACCTGTCGTGTTTCTGACCCGGGACCTTTTGGATGAGAAGCGAACAACGTTCCATACACGTACCTCTAGCCCACGAGAGCCCCTCGATCTTCTGAAGAAATAATTGTAGATTGAGAATTACTACCACTAATTCTGTAGCCCAGTTTCATGCCTTAAACATACTTTTTAAAATAGATAGCCTTTGTGTTGGGGTTAAGAAAGAAAACAATGATTTTTCGCAGGGGAGAATACCGTTGTAGAAATTTGTCTAACCACCGGCAAAACTTTCATTTCCCCTTGTAGTTGTAGCCGCTTAGATTTGGTATGCTATGTCATGGACGTTTACGAACATAAGCTTTAACTTAATTGCGCCATTCTGTCAATAATTATTAAACAAAAAAGGTGGAAAGCAGTTATGATCAAGTAGCCTAGAAACTTCCAAGGAAATGCGTCACATTTATAACTTATCAGCAAAACATGTGGCGTCGCCAGTTAATTAGCCTCATAGATTTACATTAAGCCTTACCACCAAGGAGCTTAGAACTACTGTAAACTCCTTGCCTACTCAAGGAGCTTAGAACTATTGCCTACTTGATAACTCTATGATTAGCCGAGTGTCAGCTCGATGACCGAAATGCAGGCGGGCGCCCGTGGTGTTTTTATCATTTGTGAGGACTCACTTTGAAGTGTACGTGGAAGCCGAGGAAGATTGACAAATATTGGGTTAAAAACATACTAACTAACTAACTAACTAACTAACTAACTAACTAACTAACTAACTAACTAACTAACTAACTAACTAACTAACTAACTAACTAACGATACGTCTACAAGAGTCTTTCACACGTATAGAGCTTAGTTTCTGATCAGGCAGAGATTTTTCATTTTAATGTTCTTGTACGTAAAGTTCAGCTGGAGCGGTACATGTATTTGGTTAACTAGGCTCGTTTTTCCCCTGCTCGTGGCAATCGTGCAATTGCAAAACATACACACATGCGTAGTATGCATTTCATTCTTTATTTACCTATGGGCTATGTATTGTAAGCAGGGTGTTGAGTCAACTACATTATTATTATTATTATTATTATTATTATTATTATTATTATTATTATTATTATTATTATTATTATTATTATTATCATCATCATTATCATTATTATTATTATTATTATTATTATTATTATTATTATTATTATTATTATTATTATTATTATTATTATTATTATTATTATTATTATTATAGCGTGCCTGTACTCTGAAAATCTCATTCCTCACCCTGTAAGGGGGGGGGGGGGGGGGCTCTCGTTACCTAGAGGTTAAGGTGTTGGCCTCTCATTCAAAGGTCCTGGGTTCGAATCTGGGTAGCGACGAAAAATTTTCTTCTCTAAATTTGTCTCCTTTCACCCCATTTCCTGCTCCCTAGCAATGTTCTGTCGTCTGCGTTCGTCTCCTCTTTCTGCCCCCACCTCTCACCTCCTTTGCCCCTTTCTCTGGGCTCCTGATCCTTTCTGCAGCCTTTCTACTGCTACTCCTCCGCTTCTTCTTACTGCTGTCTTTCAGCCACACCCCTGATCTTCAGGTAGGAAAGATCTACACCTAGCCTTCTCGGACAAGGGCGAAAAATCTCGGAAGGCACGTGTGCAAGTTGCGCACGTTAAAGATCCCTTGGTGGTCTAAAATCGATAAGAGTAGGCTTCGGCCGCCACCCAAGCAAAATTCAAAATTTCCTACTAACTGAAAATATTAGGTGTGTCCCGCGCGCTCATATGACGTTATGCAGTTGCGAGCGCCGTAAAACACTTTTCAAAAACAAAACAAACACCCTGTAGTAGTAGGCCTATGCAAGTAGGTCTACAATAATATTGTAATTATTAAGACAGAAATGCACCATAAGTTAAATCGGTTATGTGTTAAGGGGGGGGGGGTTGTTTTAAAGTTGTGGGGTTTTTTTTGTTTTTTGCTTGCGTTTGGAATAGCTCGGTGCCGAAAATATAGACCATTATAATAATTAAGTGTCTTTATTCGGACGTTGAAATTCCGAAACTTGAGATGGACGGGAAAAAAGTAAGTAGCGAACTCTTCAGAGAGAAAGAGTAGATTTATAGAGCAAAAGGACAACATGGCAGGAAGCTGTTTGTGTACGTCTGTGGAAAGCTGAAGTTTGAACTGTTTTCTTCTTCTGGCCTTGTTTGATGAAGATGGTAAGGCATATGCTTGCGAAGATGACGGTTTTCTATCCATATGAAATTGAATTTTCAACTTTCACAAATGTAGTAGCCCATAAAGCCACTCCAACACCAAGGCACTTTGAATGTTTGACTGACAACACTACACTGACACTGACAACAGCAGACACTTGCTTGATGGGGACAGTCGTAACAGGCTGTCACAGTTGTCAGTACAACTGATGAGTACCGAGGATGAATAAACAAGCTAGCTATGATATTAAAATATATATTAGGCTACAAAGATCATGACAAGGCAAGACCTCACACACTACTCCACTCACTCACCTCTCATTCATGTGAACATTTTTTTCTTTTTTTGTGTGTGTGCAAATTTTACTGTAATTAATATTTTGAAGTAATGCAGTGGGAGTCGCATTCTATGATAAGTTGGCTTCAACAAGGCAATCCTTAATCCCTGATTTTTCCCCTATAGTGCCTAGATCTATCTCTTTGTAAATGTACGTTAGCTCCAATGAGGTTACAAACAGACCAAAGTCGCTTTCAACAAGACAATTAGCGGCCCAGAAAGCGAAGCATTTTTCTCCTTTCTCTCCATCTCACGTGAAGCACAAGGCCCATCCTCCATTCCTAATGCATTGTATTGCTGGATCTAGTGTGCCTCCTAATATGGGCCCCAAGGCCAAGAGGATGGGCAAGGGTTGGCCTACAGTGAGTGGGAACACGACGCAGGCTGTGTGAAACTGAGCCTATGCTGTGATTAGGCCTAGTCGGTCGGAATGGGAGTGGGTGGGTGGGAACGCAACGCGGGATGTGTGGATTGTGATACTGAGCCTGTGCTGTGATGAGGCCTAGCCAGTAGGGATGGGAAGGGGTGAGTGGGAACGCGACGCGGGTATGTTTCCACAAGAGAAGTGTTCCGAGAAAATCCCCCCAAAACCCAGAAATGACGGTCAGAACACAGCTCAAACATGCACACACTGACGCTGTTTGAAATTTGTTCATCATCAGGGGGAGCAACTGTTTTAATTACTGGTATCGGTACATCGTGTACTGTAATGAAATAACTTGTCTTCCCTTTTTTCATTCTTTTTTTCTCCTTTTCTTTAGCCTTACTCACGTTCAACAATAGGTCGGGTCCAACGAGGACAACAAGGCGGTCCTGGCAACCTTGTTGAATGCGACTCCCACTGTATCTTGACATTTTCACCAGATATGATTGATTATGATGAAGAAAAAGTATTTTAGGGAGGACTTCCCTAACGAGCGACCACTATGAGACTGAGTAGAATATAGGGTTTGGGTTTGGGGTATCTTCTTTATTGAATTGTGTTTGCTGGGACAGTTGCTCTTTACGAAAATCCTGCATTTTATTCAGGCTTCGAATGTTTTATTTTTGTCAGGGTATTAAGGATGTTTTATTATTTTTCTTGCTTGCAGTTACAGTGTACAAAACTACTCAATATCATCCATTTCCAAAATAATAACTCAAATATTTCATGGCATATATGATTGGCGAAGGGTCCAAACAACCCAACCTATTCCGTCAGTATGTTGTAAGCCATTACATTCTACATGTTGAAGAAAATATAAAATTGTTTTAACTAAGTTACTGTGAATTAACTGTTTAACCCATAGAAGTGTTCCTGAATGACATATATGCACGCCCTAAATTCTAAGTACAAGTCTGTAATAATCTCAATGTTTTGTGTTCACATTTTATGAACAGAAAAATTCCACAAATTATCTTGAAAAAAGTCTAACACAATCAAATTAAAATAAATACTCTCAGATGAATTTTTCTTATTGATTAAACACCATTATAATGTTGTAATAGACCTCATGATGTCAAGGATCATTGACCATTGTTCTGTGAGGGTTTTTTATGCTGTTATTTTGGGGGCTTTTTGTGTTAGAGTGACAGAGGTAACTAAAGAAATTAACTCCCAACTACTCATTCTTGTATATATGGGTGCTGGTATAACGTTCAAATTTCAGTTTGTTAACATTGACTGTTGTTTGACCTTTGAAAATTGATATATTCATATATTTCAGGTGTGTCAGTGACTCTGATGAAGGAAGAGTGATAACTGGTACTTCACTTTGACCAGTCGAGTGCTGAGCTGCTAAATTAGGAGTGGTCAAGATGATGATGTTAGTCTACTTCACGTTTGGGGCCCTGTCCCTTCTGTGTCTGCTATTCCAGTACTGGGCTCACCGCACCCGTCGTAATGCCACGGTCGGCAACAACCCGCAGTTCATCAAGTTTCAGCGAGGCTACTTCGCTGTCTATCTCGTGGCCATGTTTGCCGACTGGCTGCAAGGACCGTATCTTTATAAGCTCTACAGCTACTACAACTTCAATGAGCAGCAGATTGCAGTCCTCTACGTTTTTGGCTTTGCTTCTTCAGTCATCTTCGGAGCCTGGACACCGATTGCTGCTGACCAGTTTGGTCGGAAGAAGTTGTGTATTTTCTTTACAGTCGCATATTCGGTGTCATGCTTCATGAAGATGTCTAGGAGTTACGGCATTTTGTTGATCGGTCGCCTTCTTGGAGGTTTGGCCACGTCGGTTCTCTTCACAGCTTTCGAGGCGTGGTACATCCACGAACACTTGGAGACCCACGACTTCCCCAAGGAGTGGATTCCCATCACTTTTCAGCGGGCGTCCATGTGGAACGGTCTCCTCGCCGTGACGGCTGGTGTCACAACAAATATCTTCTCCGAGTGGATGGCTTTGGGCCCCGTGGCCCCTTACATGATGGCCATCCCATTTCTTATCTTTGTCGGAGTCATCATCACCACACACTGGAATGAGAACTACGCCATGCATAAGATCAAGTTTGGCAGGTTGTGTTACGAGGGTCTCAAAGATATCATCACCAACCGACGCATTTTCCTCATCGGAGCGATAGAGGCGCTGTTTGAGAGTGTGGTCTATATTGTGATCTTCCTTTGGACTCCCATCCTGGAGCCAGGCCAGCCTTCGTTGGGCATCGTGTTTTCCTGCTTCATGGTCTGCATTCTGATTGGTCAGGCCGTATTCCAGATCCTGACCTCTCGGGGCGTGGCCATCACGAAAATACTGATGTTCGTGGTGATTCTCTCCCTTCTGTCTATCCTCACTTGCGTGTACTCCACCCACCCGCGCACACGTCACCTGAACACCTCGCTCGTGGCCTTTCTCTGCTTCCAGTTCTGCGTGGGCCTCTACTTCCCCGCCATGAACGTGCTGAGGGTGAAGGTGATACCAGAGCCGCACCGCTACGCCATCATGAACTGGTTCCGCGTGCCCCTCAACCTCATCTCGTGCGCGGTGCTCATGCTGCTGCACGAGGATGCTTTCCTGCACGGCAATCATCTCATCTTTGTGGTGTGTCTGGGGCTGCTGGGTCTGATGCTCCTGGCCACCTATCGGCTCATAAAGATCCCGCGACCACAGGAGGAACTGGACGAGGAAGAGGGCAGCGGCCTGATTTTGATGGAGACGGAACACATACACAACATCTTCTGATCTTGATGAAGCCAAAATACGTACACAAGCATCTTCTGATCTTGATGAAGGTGGAATACATACTCAGCATTTTTCTGAGAACTTTAGTTTTCAAGAGGAAACACATGATTACATAATATATTTTCAGAGTACTTTTTACGTTCTGCAGTGGAATATATGATCGGAATCTGATTTCAAATCACACCAAAAAAGTTTTTGTTTTCTCTTTCTGCCTCTCACTTATTCATTTACAAAATTACATGTTTTAAAAATTTACATTCATGTATGAAAGCTGCAGGAAAGAGAAAATCAATCTACATTGTGACACCATTATTCTACATCATAAATGAACATCGTAACAAGTATCCGGTTCAGTTGTGAAACAGAAAATATTATAATATTAGAGCGCTCCAAACTTTGTCTGTGTTTTTGTTTACAGGCAACCTTCAGTTATGTGAAAAGCAGAGTTCACAGATAAGACAAATACAAAGGCTGCCATCTGTGTGTCGTAAACGGTTCCATGAAAGAATATATATATATGTGTGTGTGTGTGTGTGTGGAGTGGGAAAAGGGGTGTTTGGGGGGTGGTCATAGACAAAAAGATTATAAAATTGACCCTCAGCAATTTATACATTTAAAATGATTATCGTAAAGTCTAAACTCTTTAAAGAAAATGCAAGGTTAAACTCCCAGAATGTGAGTGTATGTTGTATACGTGTGTTTCTCCAGTTCGCCTGGTGAAACTTTAGTGAAAGAATAGATTGATGTATTTGCCTGTAGAACGGTCTATAATGCCATGTGTACAAGTATTGATGGATTGACATGTTGTGAAAAATACATGTTCTCTAGATCATCTTTCGCCTGTGTATCTTGATGCTCATCAGACTGACTGCGGCGGCATTAAGTCTTCTATGATTTGTTTCCCCTTTTCCCAATTTATTTGAAAATTCTTTGAAATGTTCATTTGCATTCTCCATGCTGATGGTGATGTGTCTGAAGAGTTGTTTTTGGTGAGTGAGAAAAAAATAACTACTACTACTACTACTAATGTGTGATTACTGTGTGAATGCTGCTGGTAGTTATGATTATCATGGCGCCATTCTATAACTAAGTCTGATAGTGTATGTTTTGTATTGGTCTACATCTTTGATCATCGTTTTAATACATGTTCTACTTTAAACTTTGATCATGTGTGAGAATACAGTTTGGGTCTCTCTTGCGAATGAAAGTGACCTCAGAACTCATGCACGATAGTTTTTCATTTTGATGTTGATGTTGAGATTGCTGAAACTTTGTTTTGTAGCTTTCTGAAAATCCAAGAAGCTTTGCCAGGTCTCGTGTCTAAATTCTGATCAAGTGCCTGCTTGCTGTTAGAAAGAAGACAAACACAAACACCCCTGACAGGATCAAGCTTGTTCGATTTCCCCTACTTTCGTTAATTTGAATTGTGAAACTCAAGTCTCTTGGCATTCAGTTTTAAATGACAAAGGTATCAGTCAGAACTAAACTAGGAGATGTTCTTCTGTTTAAGTCACTCGATTCTTCCACTGGATCAAGACTGAATAAAAATTCCGTCTTTGTAATTTTGGAAAGCATCATGTCTCAACATAAAAGATGGAAAGAATTTGGAAAGAGGATGGGAATCAGGATGCGTACCTGCTTGACAGACCCTGGTCTTGATCTCAAACTCTGAGGAGGAATACTGAATGAAAGTTAAAGTTGTGAGGAAAACATATTTTGTATATATATATGATCAGAATTCTGTTTGTTTTCTCACTGTCTGAGTCTGAGTGTGGGCTGCTCTTAGACCTTTGTACGATGTATGATGTGATCACATCTGTGAAGGTCTCCTTCAGTCTGCCGTTCTTAAAATCGTCTTTCATGCATGATGCCATGGCTTCCCCGATGTTGGCTCCACAGAGAATGGAGACCCCCCCCCCTTCCCCTCCCCCTAGATGTATTTAGTAGGTCAAGTAAGTTCCGAGTGGAGGGCTGAGGTAGACTTTTACTTACCATCAATATTTTTCCCTGTATCATTATCATGTTACCATCTGTTTATAACTCTTAAAAATTATGTTCAACATGCCTGCAGTGCTGCATTTATGTACATTATTGTCTTATATTTTTTTCTTTCTATCATTCTTTGGGCTTTTTTTTCATCTTTATTATTTTTTTTTTTTTATAATCCGGAGGGTTGGTTAATCATATGGTTAATTAATTTGATTTCTCCAGTTTTTTTGGGGGGTTTGAAGAATTATATTCAATGTTTACTTTACTACTGTATTAATTCACTGTAAGCCTTCAAATTTAGCGTTTTTAGATCAGAACATATCTCTTAAAGATGAGGCACGTTACGGTGGTTTTGAAGGGAAACTATCACAGCTGTGCAAACCTGGTAAAGTAAAGTGTATACTTTAAAATACAGGTAGCTATATATAATATATAATATAATATACAGAATACAAACTATACAGGCTTTTTTGTTGCTGTTTGCGTCCTGTAGGCCTACTTAAGACAGTCAAGACTTAAGATGATTAATGGGATAGTTTTTTACATCTGGATGCTCAACAATTTCAGGTATTGGTTCCTTTTGCCATCTGGTAGTTATTATTGATCTTAAGTGAACGCTATCTCTTCTTTCCCAGCGTCTTGTGCTTGCAGTTAGATATCTTTTGAAAAGTGCACCTAATTAATATCAATTATGGTCAGTAACATGATGAATAATCTATTTCTTTATCTTTTTTTTTTTCCTTTTTCTTTGAGCCAGTGGTTTGGTGTGATGACATTTCGCAGAGTTACGAAGTAGTCGAAGTTTGTAGTTTGGTATGGTCAAACTGACTTTCTTTGTTACTTCATGGTTTGTTTATCCAGTTCACAAGAACTTAGACATTTTGGACCAATTGTATCAGATATGATAAAGTAAGTAAAGGTTTTCTGCTCAACCCCAAAGGGTCCTGTTAATGAAACATTGTGTCTTGGTGTGTATATATATATCAGTAGACAAATTAAGCTTTTTAGTTAGCACGTATTCAAATATTGTTTTTAAACCTTTATGATACTATTACAATATATGTGTCACTACGTGGTGGAATCAGGCGCTCATCAATTTTTGGGTATGTGGAGTTATTGATATTGCCTGAAAGAGTATTCATTTGCCTTGCTTTCTGTAAGGAGATGATATAAGTGCTATCTAATCCTAGATTCTACTCGTTAGTCTATCTACGTTGGTTTCAAATACTCACTGTTTCGAGCGGGGAACGATGAGTGTGAGTCGTACAGGTCCGGAGCTCCGTCCACTGTGTCGACCCACCAGTAGCGTCGATCCCTGCTCAGACTAGATCTAGGTTTTAGTCATGGCTCGGAAGGCCAGTTTAACCTTCGCCGTCTGTTTATATCCCCCCCGTGCTCCCTTATTCTCCTACACTCACTAGGCTACACTGAGTTTGTTTACTTATTTCACGTGATTCTGGCTTGTCTGGTAATCACAGCGAATTATAAACCACACTTTCTATGAAAAAAGTATCCATCTAGCTTGAATAGAAGTCAAGATATTCGCAATTGAAGAAGGTGGGGTAGCCTGGTTTCAGTGGTTAAATTAATGAGAAAATGGCCGCCAAAGTTTGGTAACTTCAATAGCTTAAGAGTCCTTGAAAACTGAAAATTACATATTTTGTGCCTTTAGACAAGGGTTTTCAGTAAAATTCACATGAAAATGTGTTTTCATATAAACATAAAAGGTGTTTAGCCAAAAAACTAAATTTTAAATAAAAATGACAAACTGGTGGGAAAATACATTTTTCTTTGGTGTCATTATTTTGACGTGCACCTCATTTCGCTACGATGCCTCGCACTAATATATAACTATGAGCCTGAAGGGTTGTGATAAATAACCTTCCAGTGTTGAAGGCATACAATTATTACTAGGATTGTATAGTGAGAAGAACTGGTTGGGCTGAGATCTTTTTATTCTCATTGATACTTTGTCTCTTTTTTCATGTTTTCACGTTGGCTTTGTAATATGTGAGGCATCGTGGTGAAATCAGGCGCTGGTCAAAATAATGAAATCAAAGAAAAAAGCATTTTTCCACCAGTTTCGAAATTTTTATTGAAATTTTGTTTTTTCGCTTAACACCTTTCAAGTATATTGTTTTAATTGAAAGCAAGGAAAATGAATAAGCTTTCAGATGATATCAATGACTCCACATGCCCAAAAATTGACGAGCATCTGATTGCACCGCATCTTGACACATATATTTTTTCACTCTTTCTGGAAAAAAGAAATACTACTACTACTGTTATCCCCGCTTTTTTTCATTTACTCAGCCTGTAAAACAGGGTAATGTCGAGTCGCTTTTTTGTTGCTGTTGTTGAGAAGATGGTGAGTTGTTGCAGGATGTGCTTCTTATGTTTACCCACTGACTGTAAATATTTTGCTGAGCGTACACATGTGTGTAATGTGTGCCGCCTGCTCACGTTCATGTGTATGAGTGTTTATGTGTGTATGGGAGTGTGTGTGCATGTGTGTGTGTGTGTGTGTGTGTGTGCAAAGGGGATGAAAATGTATCGAGTTGGATCTTACTACACCTTTCTTGCACTATTGGTTCACTCATGCTTAGAAATTCTTTACACTTCTACAAAACTTGAAATTCCCAGCCGCGTTAATGCGACAGGAGTTATTTCTTATGTCCGGAGTTGGATAAGACTTAATTTAGACCTCCCATTCTTAAAAAAGTGCATGAAGAATGAATTTAAGCTTTTAAAGGATTTGCAAATAAATTGGGAAAAGTCACTGCGACCCAAAAGTGACCTTGTGGAAGATAGAGACTCCTGGGACACGCGTTCTGGATCAAGTCTGTTCTGAATAGGGGGAATCAAATTACTTTTACCCTGATCTTTGTTGTCTGTGTATACGTATAATATACAGTCGATATTGTCTAAGATGACCACCCATTGTCGCGGACAAAAGTGGCTGTCATAGACCGGGGGGGGGGGGGGGGTACACACATCTTACACAGTGCTGTTATAATTTTGTGAAAAGTCAAGGGGCGGGGGAAACGGGAAGTGGCCGTTTGTGCCAGTGATTGTCTTCTAAAGGTGGCCGTTAGAGCAGGCTGGACTGTATACTAGCGAATTATCTGTGGACCTGAAAATTTTGGTTGCGGTACTTAACAATGCAAATAGTGATGTAGCTGCACTAAGCTTAAAGGTATATATAAACAATATTAAATATATACAATTGATATTTTATAGAAGTGAAGTTTTGAATAGGCAGTGAGATTGGTGAAGGTACTGTTTAGTATTTGATGCTCTGTGTAGAACTTGCTCCATGTAGAACTGAGACTGAAAAATGTTTTAGGTAATGGACCAAGATGTTGTTGATTTACGTGTACGTCTGAAGGGGTGCAGTTGGGTTTTCCTTGTGCTCGCTGAGCTGATGTAGATTTTGATAGTAAATGAAGAAATCCATTCATTTATATTATGTATGCAAATTGATTGTTTCTATTTAGTGAGTTTGTGTTTGGTTAAGTTTGATTTATAATGTTTGACTGTTCGTAATCTGAGTGCCATCTTGTTACAAACCGAATTTTTCTGGTTTTTATGAAAGTCACATTGAACACACTGATTGCAAAAATGAAACTGAAATTCTATGGAG